AATTTGGCAAGGCTACATATTTTTATTTTTTTTTCTGTTTAATCACCTATAAATCTGACATGGTTACATTTAAAATAGTGGTTCCACCTGGAAAATATTCCTAAATGCCTTTCTGTCAAACAAATACAAACAATTGTATTTCCAATTTATAGTTTGGGAAATAAACTTTAAATCACATCTGGAATTTCAGGTGGAAGAAATTACAATTGCTAAGACCCTGAGGGCCAAAGGGATTAACGGAGGGAGTATCGACTCTGGATGGCGAAGGTTATGAACATACCTGAACTATGGCGACGAACCCGGCAGGGAAAGTCCCTCTTAAGATTGCGTTTCTGGTCGTACCCACCAGAAGTTCCTCGTCGTCCACAACTGCGACAGTTCGGACAGCCCCGAACTTCTCTGGAATCTGCATAGAACACCTCAGTTAGTCCCGCTGCTCCCACAGCTCCTCCGGCAGATGGAACGCACGCACACCCGGCCGTAGATCACCTCACACTCTCTCTCTGGAGCCAGGTCGGCACTCCAGCGGATGATCTTGCGGTCCTTCCCCCCTCCGCTGATCAGAGCGCCGCACTTCAGGGCGCACAGGGCGAACACGCTGCCTTCGTGGGCTTTGATTGGCCGTACAATCTGAAAGGTCTCTGTTTGAAAGCAGAGCGGGATAAGTTCCTGTCCGCATGTCAACGCTCCCGGATTTCTGCGCCCGCACTGACCTTTGGCCCCCTTCCCAAGCGTTTTGGTGTCTGCTGCCGACTTTGCCCACGGCAGTATGTTTCCTTCAGAGTCTCCGGTCAGAACGTCTCCAGTTAGGCTGAACACAAAGCAGTGGATGAACTTGGGCTTCTTGTATTTCTGGAAACAAGGAAAAACACTTTCAAAAACAACTGTGGAGGATATTTTCTACCGTAGGGCTGNAATAAAGTCGTAAAATTACGAGAACAAAGTCGTAAAATTTCAAGAATAAAGTGGTAAAATTTCAAGAATAAAGTCCCAACGAGAATAGTCATAAAATTACGAGAATAAAGTCATAAGATTATGAGAATAAAGTCGTAAAATTCCGAGAATAAAGTCACAACAACAATAGTCATAAAATTACGAAAATAAAGTCGTAACATTGAGAATAAAGTTATAAAATTACGAGAATACAATCGTAAAATTACGAGAATAAAGTCGTAAAATTACGAGAATAAAGTCGTAAAGTTACAAGAATAAAGTCGTAAAATTACGAGAATAAAGTTGTAACATTACAAGAATAAAATAATAAAATTATGAGAATAAAGTAATAAATTACGAGAATAAACTCGCAACTTTTAGAGAAACAAGTTGCATTTTTTGACTCTTCCAAGAAGCCCTTTCTTCCCTAAAATCAGGAATGTGGACCATCATGTGGTGGAGCTGGTCTGACATCATCTAATGGGCGGAGCTCCAAGCTTGTTGTTGTTAGATGACTTTATTCTCGTAATGTTACAACTTTATTCTCGTAATGTCTCGTAACTTTATTTTCAAAATAAAAATGTAAAAAACCTGTAACCTGGCCCTAATATTCCGTCGCAGAGAAGAAAATGTAAAAAAAAGAAAATGTTTTTTTCATAGATATCAAAAACGATGTCTATCCAGGAACTCCGAGCGTCTGTGGCTCTAAATAAATGTGATTAATATGAACTGTGGGGCTGAAACCATTAATAATGATGGATCAATTATTAAAATAATCGTCAACTAATTTTAAATAGATTAATCGTTAACTGGAGTATAGGCTGTAAAACAAGCCTTTGACTAACAGAGGATCCCACTTAGAGCAGCGATACCAAATACTACAATTAAAGAAAATAATCATAAACACATTGCATTCAAGATTTCAAAAATGTCTCTATCAGAAAGGTTTTAGTTTCACCTGGTTTAATTTTGCAAAATAATTGTTTACATATTTATAGAAATGGCGAAAACACAGTCACATGGTGTTTCATCCACACGCCTTTAAAATGGGGCTTAAAAATGTCTTTTTTTTTTGAGTTTTTACACTACTAGTGGCTGGTTTTTTCCTGACAGTAGGCTGACAGGAAAGGGGGACTAAGGCCTCCTATATGGGTCATGGGCGTTAACCAATGCGCCATCTGCACACCCAAGCTCTAGAATTCCTAAAACAAGTTTTTAAATTATTTAGAAAAAAATACTTTTTGTTTTATAGCTTTGTAAACAAATAAAATCAGATTTAAAATTCCAGCTGATGTGTGTGACTCTTCGGGAGTAATGCAACAGCAGGTATTCATTTTTAGCCCCGCCCCCTAATGGCCGCCATCATTGGAAACTAGAGGCTCAGACCTGCATGTGTTACATTAGCTGCTCTGTTTTCTTATTTTCTATTCAGTTTTAGTGATATTATTGGTAAATTTCAATGAAACGACGACTAAATCTCAGGAGCAAAGGCTTTGCTTCATGCAGAAAGTCTCCAATCATGTAAATCAGCATATTTGTCTGATCAGGTTCCCTTTTATCAGTGGAGAAAATGCATTTTTGCACCACTGTGGCAAAATCCCATTTCCTCCTAGCTCACTGCTCACTAAAACCTTTTTGGAAAAAACATGCTTCAGTATTAAGGCCAGGGTAGAAATTTTTTTCCCTTCTATTTTGAGAAAGAAGTTGTAACATTACGAGAATAAAGTGGCAAAATTACGAGATTAGTCATAAAATTAGGAGAATTAATAAAATTATTAGAATACAGTCGTAACATTACGAGAATAAAGGTGCAACGAGAATAGTCAAAAAATTACGAGAATAAAGTCGTAAAATTATGAGAATAAAGTCGTAAAATTACGAGAATAAAGTTGTAAAATAATAAGAATACAGTCGTAAAATTACTAGAATAAAGTCGTAACATTACGAGAATAAAGGTGCAACGAGAATAGTCATAAAATTACGAGAATAAAGTCGTAAAATTATGAGAATAAAGTTGTAAAATTACGAGAATAAATTTGCATCGAGAATAGTCATAAAATTACGAGAATAAAGTCGTAAA